TCTATTCTTTTAGATAAATGTGCATGTTTAAAAATCAAAATAATAATTTCCCCCATCCCGTTTCATTTTTATGCACATTTATGCAAAAATACACTGTTCCAAAAGTAGAATGATGTTAGAAGTTCGTTTCTTTTGTATTTCTTATCTATATTGATAGATATCTTTAGAGAAATTTTTTGGATTTTTTGATTGCTAAATAAAAATTTTATGAGGGGGTGCATATACTTTTGGAACGCAGCATATGTATGTATATGTAGTTTAACGGAAAATTTTTTAAATTACTATAATTTATTTTTAAAATTAATAATAACAAATATGGTTAACTATAGAGCTGCACTTTACACATTTATTGTCTTGACAATGAAATCCATAACAGCATTGTTTATTCTTTGTAGCATCTATACCGCAAGCCCCACCATTATTAACACAATTGTAAGGTCGACAAATGGAATAGTCGTCTTTATCAGTTTTACAGCTTAATCCTTTACAGCATTTATTTTTTTGATTGTCACAATTATAATTATCCTTCTCTAAACATTTGCCATTTTCACATTTGCCACCACTATCATGTTTCGGAAACCGACAATACAATCCAGGACAGCAACCATTATTGCTTCCACAAGGCTTATCTTTTCCTCCTTTGAAAAGACAGAGGCTATTAATTAATTGAAATAATAAAAATAAATTTAAAAATAAGAAGGGAATAAGAAAAATATTTTTTGAAGAAGCCATTTAATTAAATTTTCTGAAAATTCTGAAAATTTTATTTAAATTTCTTAAAGATAAAAAATCCAAAATTATTATTAAACAATTATTTATTAATAGAGATAGCCAAAACATGCAAATGCACGTTTTGTATGCGGATATGCATTGAGGTGGGAAGCACAAAAATGGTGTTTTTACACAGGTCCGAGCACTTTAGGACCCGGTTCTTAATGCATATTTTTGCATATTTCAGCGATTTTGTGCATATTATGGCAAATTTTGCATATTTGGGCATTTTTTCGAAAATTTTCTATGAAAATTTGTTAAAATTTTGAAATTTTTGGTTAAAAATTTTTTATAAAAATTGTTTGAAAAAATATCTGTGTAATTTTTTTGGGAAAAATTAAAAAAAAAATTTTTTGCATAAATTTTAGCTCCATTTAATCCTTTCGAAGTGCTCTTAAATGTAAAATTAAAGGATAAATAAGTGTTTTTAACTTAAAATTTTGATTTTTAAAGCATAGTTTAGCTATTTTTTCATATTTCAGTGCATATTTTGGGCTTTTTCGGTGCATATATATGCGCATATTTTGGCCGTCCTTACTTATTAATTTAATTCAATGTTATTAGAATGAAATTGGTAAATGTTTAGAAGTATTTTAAATAAAACTCTAAATTAAGAGTAAAATGTGTTTTGATTTTTGCTAATTTACAAACTACAGATTGCTAAATAAAAATTATTATTTCAGAGTAAAATTTGGTAAAAAAAAATTTAGCAAAAATAAATTTGGATAAAGTCTAGAGGTTTATCGTTGTACAAATAAATTTTTATTTAAAAAAATAATATTGGAAATCTAAATTTAGAGGGGTAAAAGAAAAATTAAATTTTTATTTTTATTTAGAATCATTAGAGGAATTCAGAATGCAAAACACAAAATGCAAAAAAAAATTCAAACTAATTTTCGAAATTATTTCTGCAAAATTTAATAGTTTTTGGATTTTTTATCTGATAAAAAAGCTGTACTTTCATCAGCATTAATTATTGGACTTTCACACTGATCTAACATAGAAGGATCCGAAAATCTGTCTCAATAGCATGAGTCGATGCCATTATAATAAAGCAGTTCTAAAGCTATTTTTCTCTCATTTAGCCAGTGCAAAAGGTTATTCAGCGGCTGGGAGCGAACCAGCATCTTCAGTAGATGGACTGGTGTGTTAGCCGTTACACCATGCCACCTACTGCATAGCCTTAGGAATTAAATAGCTATATGCTTTACAATATTTGAAATGAAACAGAGACATAGCCAAGGTTGTTCTTTCGTTCTGTCCAATTTTGTTCCGTTTAGCTTCCCTAATCTAGTTGGTAAATTATAATCGGACGATGAAAAATTATTTTTTATTTTTAAATACTGATTTAAAAAATATTTTAATTTAAAAAAAATTAATTTAAAAATTATTATTAATTTTTTAAATTTATTCTCTTTAATAATTTATTAATTTACATTCATAAGTACAATTTATAAAATTTTTATTACACGCAATACTTCATATTCTAAATTTAAGATACATTTTTAAAATAAATCTGGCCTTAAGAAGTGCTTGTAAAGACTTAAGTTAAGTGGCATTTTAATTGAATAAATTTTCTTCCGCCTTTCGCCGAATTCCGTCTTTTTGGGTCTTCCGCTTCCATCTTCCACCTCCGTTTTTTAAATCTCTTCCTTCGCTTCCGCCTTCCGTTTTCCGCTTTTTAAAATCCAAAATTATTCCACCCTGTAGTGCACCCCATTATGCAGCCGGACCTCACTTGTAAGATATCCTTTTTACTATACATACACTTTAACGGCATATCCTTTAGGTGTCGTAAATACTAGGGATATCTTACGATTTTTAAACTTTATCTTAAGATGTGTTTTATGTGTTTTTGTGTTTTTGTTTTTTATGTGTTTTTGCAAAAATTTAATAATTTTTGAATTTATTATTAGATAAAAGAGCCTTACTTAGTTTTGGACTTCCACATGGATCCATAAATATGTATATTTCAAGAGCATGATTCAGAAAGAGTTTGCAAAAGTTTAGCCACCGGGCAGGATTCGAACCTGTGACCACCTGCAAGTTGTTGCTAGGCACTTTCGCTCACCATATACAGGAGCTCTACCTCTGAGCTACCGGGGCATCGACTATTCCTTTCTCTTTTTCCTTTTTAGATCGTTTAACCCCCGCCTAAGCGTTTTAAATGCTGCTGGGTGAATCATCCTTACAATTTTATGCCAATATTTGATAATTATTAGAGATCGGATAAATCAAATACCAAACAATACAGACCAAATTTGATCATAAAATTTTTTGATCAGATTTTATTTGATTATATTTGACAAATATTTGTTTGACCACTTTTGGAAAAAACCAAATTTTTTCAAATACTTTCAGATATCAATAATCTCAGAGGCATAAGTCGAAATATTTGAAAAGAAACGGAGCTTGTTTTTTTTCGTCCTGTCCAATTTTGTTCAGTTTCCTTTCCCGAATCTACCAAGTTTGAAAATTATAATCTGACAATGAGATTTATTTTTTAATTTCCAAATACTGATTTAAAATATTTTTATTCCCTTTTAAGCTCAAAACACATTAATTTAAAAATTATTATTAATTTTTTTAAATTTATTCTCCTTAATAATTTATTAATTTGCAATCTATAAGTACAACTTATAAAATTTTTAGTACACGCAATACTTCATTTTCTAAATTTAAGATACATTTTTTAAATAAATCTGGCCGTATGTGAGGCTTGTCAAAGACCGAAGTTTAAGTTAAGTGGCATTTTAATTGCTTCCGTCTTACGCCGAATTCCGCCTTTTTGGGTCTTCTGCTTCCGTCTTTCATCTTCCGTTTTTTAAATCTCTTCCTTCTCTTCCGCCTTCCGTTTTCCGCTTTTTAAAATCCAAAATTATTCCACCCTGTAGTGCACCCCATTCTGCAGCCGGACCTCACTTGTAAGATATCCTTTTTACTATACATACACTTTAACGGCATATCCTTTTAGATGCCGTAAATACTAGGGATGTCTTACTATTTTTAAACTTTATCTTAAGATGTGGTTCAGCTCAGGGCTATACGCCAAAATTTTCGCGTGGCGCGCCAAACGCCAATTTTTCAAATTCTTAAAACACGCCAAACGCAAAATCGAGCAAAAATGGACACTAACGCCAAACGCCATAGCGCGCCCCCTGGTTCAGCTCTATTTATTTTTAAACTTGATTTCTTAAAATTTATTTTTAAAAACAAAACCCCATTAAGAATTTTTTTATCTCTTTTTGTTTTGCAAATTAAAATGAATACGTATTTTTTTTTGAATTTTTTTACGTAAAAAAATTTGACAATAAAAAATAATTGAAAAAAATAGTAATAAATAAAGCTAAGTCATAAAAACAAATTAAAATAAAAAAATATTTTAAGTAAATTTATATTTTAAACGATATTTGACATTTAAATAGTCCAACTTATACCTATAAATTAGACAAACTTTTAATTATTTTTTGTATAAACAATTTTAAGATAAACAGACAATTTTAGAGGGAAGATAATTTTGGGTTAAGCTAAAATTATTTTTAAAAATGTTGCTAGCTTATACTGCTTATTTTTTTACTCAAAATATTTTATTTATAACCATTATGTAACGTTAAAGATGTAGCGTCTCGAAGATTATAAAAGTAAAATCCTTTTGCTGGGGGGGGGGGGGATTTTTTTCAAGCTTACAGGGTATTTTTCCAACTATACATAATAGCTTAGAATAAAAAAGTGATCCAAAATAGGATATTAGACATGGATAGGAATGTGTAGGAATAACCGAAGGAGTCGGAAATTGGAAGATAAGAAAGGGTCTCTCGATTAAATATTTACACATTTTGGCGTTAAAATACAGTAAGAGCGAGGTAAAAGTTCAATCCCGGGCAGTCTTCGATCATGCGACCTCCTGGCAGTTATGGCATGCGCTTTCGCTCACCACGTACAGGTGCTCTACCAACTGAGCTACCGGGCGCTGCTTTCATCTCTCTTTTAATCTTAAACCCCCCCCCCCCCCCACCTAGTGAGCGTTTTAAATGCCTCTCTTCCTTAAGAGTCTGTTACTTACAATACCTATCTATAATTGTCCAGAATAATTTTTCAAGAAAATAAGGTATATCCTTGAATGCTTCTTTATACTTTTTTAAAATTTATAATGAAAAAATATTTTTTATCTTTATCTTTTTCCAATTTAAAAACTTTCTTTTTAGCCTCTTTAAATTTCCTGTTCTTTACTAACATAGAATCATTTCCATATCTTCCGGCTTTACCACCTTAGGTGCAAAAGCTATTTGATTCATAAAAGTATCAAATAAAACACAATAATTATTCAAATGTTGTGTTGAAAATTCTAATTGTTTTTCTTCACTAGTTACCAGTCCAAGTATACATTTATTTTCAGACTTGAAAAATCCAAAATTTTTAAAGAATATTTTCTTGATTTTTGAATAGGTGTGTATTTCAGTCAATTTAAAGAGGAGACACTGTTAGGAATAGAAGCTGCAATCTCTTGGCATTAGACTTGGGGGTCCCGATCCGGACCGGCCCGAAAGATCGAGAGGGACATTGGATTTTGGCCCGAAAAAGACTCGGTCGGGACGGCCCGATAAAAATGTGGTCCGAAAAAGACTCGGTAGAGCCGGCCCGATAAAAATGAGGCCAAAAAAAGACTCGGTAGAGCCGGCCCGATGAAATTGAGACCCGAAAAAATGACTCGAACGTCGGGCCGACTCGATAACCTCAACTCTACTTTGCATCTCCCGATACCCGACACAAATTTTTGGTACCCCACCTACTTTTGTTACCGTACTTCCTAACATTTTTTTAAAATTTTTACTTGTACTTCTCCATATACGACTGCGAGGGAGGGGCATGAATTGAAAATGACACTGGTCTTCCCCTGATACTTAAATTTTTGACTAATATTTATTTACTTACACCATCCTCTGCTATATATTTTCGAGAAACATTAAGTGTAGTATTAGAATTTTTTAATTTTAAACCAATTGAATTTCCTTCAGATTTAATATCTCTACATTTTCCATTTAGATAATAAAAATATTTTTTATCATCAATTAAAGCATCCACAGCCTTAGCGATTTTTTGAATATTTTTAGAACTTCCTTTTATAGCCAAGTCTAAGTAATCGCGATAGAATTCAGTATTATTTCCAACATTTATAAGTGTTTCTCCTTTACTGTCAACGACTTGATCAACAAAAATAACAATTTTATCCATGATTTGAGGCTTAATTTGTATAAATATAAAGGGCAATAGTCCCAGCCCCTCCCCCTCCTCCCCAACCCATGAGTAGTCCGGAAAAGTTTTTGCCGCTGCGGCGGAAGCCGGACGTGTCAAGCGGAATGGCACTAGCTACGAACGGCACTAGTTCCAATATAAGGTTGACTATCGTCATCGGATAAAATTTATATAGAGAGATCAGGGGATATTCCAATAAATATGGTGATTGATTAATTTTTGATGTAAAATTACGGCGTGAGCCCATTCTGGCAATTTCCATATATTGGAATTTGGAATAGGCGTGTTGGTGCCAGATTACTGGCAAATGACGAATATTGGAATACTTGAAAGCTCCCCTGCCCCCTTCAGTGTTAAGATTTAAAGATTTATAGACTTGGGGTATATCTCATAAAGAAATTCAAAGTACCTCCACCGAACCTTGTCACAGAAAAATTGAAACCCAAACCCCCAAGCATTAGAGAAACTCTAATTGCACCCCGAATACCTACACCAAAAGTTGCTTGACTTACATCAAATGTAGCATTAATTGGTTTACTCATCTTATCCAAATCACAATAATTTTGAAAATATTTTTCTTCGTCATAACAAAAATCTAAGTAATACAAAATCTCATATCCACTGAACTCAATATCCTCATAGTAACCAACCAAAGCAAAATCAACAAAAAATTCCCCATTTAATTTCCTTGAAGTTAACTTGTCAGTTTTATTAAAATTAAATTTTCTTCCTCTTTTGGTTAAAATTTTTTTAATTTTTGAAATTTCAGGTTTTCGGCTTTCCAAATTTTTCGATTCAACAAAATTCCAATTTAAACAGAAAAATAAATAAATGGAAAAAAATAAAATTAGAGGGAAGGAAAATTTATTTTTAGTCAACATTTTTTGAATGATTTTTAATTTTTGATTTAATTTTTGGCCTGAGTAGCCCCTTTAAATGATAAATTTTGGGCCGGAATTGGGAAGAAAATGATATCAATTTTTTATTTAAAAATTAACAAAAAATGTTCTTTATCTATTGAATTTAATATTTATTTTGGAGGTAACTCCCTTCTTAATACCTCCCTATTTTCATTTTTTATTTGCCTACCCGGATGTGTTTCTTTATAATTTTTGAAATTAAATTTAATATAAAATTTAAGTAAACATTAAAATTTTTAAAATTCTATTTTAATCTCTCTAAGTAAGTTTTTATTTCCTCTTCTTTAATTATAGTATGTTATATAACAATTAATCTGGGACAAGAGCCGTGTCTTTCTCCGCGCGCAGGCGAAAATCTAGAAAATTTTTGAGCTGCAGGCGTTGAAACTTTGTGAATTTTAAGGTGGACCTTTGATGTTTTAACCAAAAAGTTACTTTATAAGTACCTATTTATAAGTACCTACGGCTCGCGGCCATAATGGCGCAAAGATATAACCTACTTCAAGATTTACTGATCTTATCAAATTTAGTATAAAACGAGTCCTCTCATCGAGCTAAGTAGATTGCTATCAACATTGTTAAGGGCCAGACATTTACAGCAAGTTATGGCTAAGCGCCGTTCTTGGGCTGTACCCATTTATTACACCCACTCATTTAAATTAACTCATCGAGAAATGTTAAGTTAAAGTACAAAATGTTTAATTTATTACATAGTGGGAAAAATACTTAAATAGTAAAGTACATGGTGAGAAATTTTTAACATGGTGGGAAAAGTCTCAAAAAAATTAAATTTAAAAAATTTATTACGCCCACAGAATTTCTCTTCTCAATTGTTCTTTGGCTACTGTCCAGACTACATGTCCAATCGCAACTTTACGAGTCAAATGAACTCTATAAATCGGTGGCCAGATTGCTTTCATCCATAGACAATACCGGGCAATGGTTCTAATACGCCTAACCGGGTACTTATCGGTACAGATTTGACTTATGAAATGTGATTTTGGACGCATAAAAATTTTTTAGACGCATAAAATTTCCATTGGACATGTAGTCTTTTCATTAAATTCTCCGTGCGCAGACGAAAATTTCGAGAATTCGAGGCCAATAAGCCAGATTTCTTTCATTTTCAACGCCCAGGCGTTTTTCTTAAAATTTTTTTGATTAAAGAACAAAGAACCTTTAAAACTTTTAAAGGTATTATTTGACATTTAAATATTCTACATTGACTATTTAACTATATATTAGACAATATAGTATAATTAAATATAATAAGAGATGTGTTTTATTATGAAGATAAAACATTAATTTTAGAAGGAGGATAATTTTGGGTTATTCAAAATTATTTTTAAAAATGTTGCTAGAAAATGGTGTTTTATTCTTTTTATGCTTTGATGCAAAGAATATTTTAATTAAATCTTTAAAAATGGAATCTTCAAAAATAGAATTTATTTAACGTAGATAATTACCTAATAACATAATTACCTATATTCTAATTCAAAAAATTGACTTTAAAAATCATAAATTTGGAGTGTCGCCTTAACATCTCCCCCACCCAGTAGCTAATCAAATTTAGAAACGTATCTTAAATCAAGGTGTGTCTAAAAAGTTAAGGTCAAAGCTCTCTAATATACTCCCTAGGACCTTGAGTTGACATGCGAAGGAAGGTGAACTGGAAGGGGATCAGAGGTGAATCGGAAATGACGAAGGTGCTGATGTTCAAAATAATCGGAACTGTCGGAAATCGGAACTCGGAACTGCCGGAAATCGGAACTCGGAACTGTCGGAAATCGGAACTGTCGGAAATCGTAACTGTCGGAAATTGGAACTGTCGGAAATCGGAACTGTCGGAAATCTCGGAACTGTCGGAAATCGGAACGGTCGGAAATCGGAACTGTCGGAAATCGAAACTGTCGGAAATCGAAACTGTCGGAGATCGTAACTGTCGGAGATCGTAACTGTCGGAACTCGGAAATGGCTCAAAAGTCGGAACTCGGAAGTCGGTAATCAGCCTAAGAATTTACCCTCATATTCTAATTTAAAAATTAACTTTTTAAAAATTTTAATTTTAGAATTAAAATGATAATTGATGCTGATGTTCAAAATAATTATTATAATTAGGGACAGCCAAAATATGCACGGAAAATCGCCAAATATGCGCATATATATGCACCGAAAAAGCCCAAAATATGCACTAAAATATGCAAAATTTGCTAAAATATGCACTGAAATATGCAACAAAAAATAGTTAAAATATGCTATAAAAATCAATATTTTAATTTAAAAACAATAATTTAGCCTGAATTTTACATTTTAATAGCACTCCTAAAAGATTTAATGGATTTAAAACTGTTGCAAGAATTTTTTGTGAAAAAATTTTTCCCAAAAAAATTTTCGCAAATATTTTTTCAAGAAATTTTTATAAAAAATATAAAAAATTTTATAAAAAAATTTTTGACCAAAAAATTTTAAAATTTTGGTCAATTTATAGCATAATTTTACAAAAAATGCCGAAATATGGACCAAAATATGCAAAATTAGCCAAAATATGGACAAATATGCAAATATGCACGAGAGGGCCGAAATATGCAAATATATGCATTAAGAACCGGGTCCTAAAGTGCTCGGACACATGTAAAAACACCATTTTTGGGCTTCCCACATCAAGGCATATCCGCATACAAAACATGCATTTGCATGTTTTGGCTGTCCCTAATTATAATGTATTTTCGGGGTTTTTCTGTTCACTCTGTGCAATATTTTTGATAATTCTGATTCGTCCTTTATATTATTTTTCAAAGGAAAGAAAGGCTCTTCTTATTCTTTTTAGCAAGGTGGGGGGTTCTTTTTGGGTTGTTTTTGTGTATGCCAGTGGAGTTAAAGCTCGGGATTGGTTTCCGAACTTAATTTTGGGACTATTCGACGTTTAGATCCCTTTACGATTTTCTCCTTAGTATAAACAAAGGTCGGTCAAATCAGATGTCCGACTCCTTCATTTAATCAAATAATTACCATTGGTAATTCTCTCTTTTCAACCCTTCACTAGAGGAGGTAATTAATCGAGAGAGGGCAATTATCTAGCATAGAGGGTAATCGAGCATATGTACGAGGTACGAGGCGAGGCCAAAATTAGGGATGATAAAAAAAGCCAAAAAAAAACATAGTACGAGGCCAAAATTAGGGATGATACAAATACGATTCGATGAATCTAAGAATTTTTGACTGTTCCGGCGATCGAAAAGAAAAAAATGCTATCAATAAGCTTCCTTAAATTAATTAATTTTTTATTCAAGTCTTGTGCCAACATAATATATCAAATTCGGCAAATCTATGTTTGTATTTACCAATATTTTTCTTTTTCATCTTCTTACTGGAGTTATTTCTTTCTGGCTCCCAGTGCAACTGTGCTTCTAAATGCTGCTTATTTTCATATTATTGGACTGGCTATAAATCGTTTCCATGCAGTTTTCTTTCCTTTAAGCTATCAAAACTATTGGAAATTGAAGTAAACTTTTGAAAATTTTAAAAACGAAAATATCTGCGGAAGATATTTACGGACTAGTTGGATCGAGAAAACATATTCTTTCGATTCTTGGGATCTAAGATTGCTGGATGTTAGGGAGAGTAATCTAAAATTATTTTTCAAGTACTCTTCTGTTTTATAAAAGATACTATTTTTCGATACCCCCAAATAGGGGCCATTCTATTGGAGGGGACATTATAATGGAGGTGGCCACTCTATTTTTCGATACCCCCCAAAAGGGGCCATTCTATTGGAGGGGCCATTCTATTAGAATAAATACGGTATATACATTCCAAACGGTCCTAACAACTAAATATTCTACTAAAAATGAAACTCCCAATTATCGCATAAATTAACCGATATCTTTGTGTAAATCCAAATACGTAGGAGTTGTTATAGTAAAGCAGCTCTCTCCTTCAGCTAAAGATAATTATTGATAAAAAACACGAAGGACACGAAGGGTGAGGTGGTCAAATCTCTCTAGAACACACAGACTAGGGTTAGCGGATCCTGATATCACGATCCGAAATAGTTCGGATATCTGGAACTTTTAGGATTCCCTCTGGAAATTTACAGGATCCACCAACTTAGTACAGATGCATTAAACAAGATAACAATAAATTTTTTCAGAAATATTAAATACTTTATTTGTTTAACATGGCTTGTAGTACTTATTTGGAGTGCTGTACAATACGTTGCTTTTCTTCTGGACTTTGCAAATACTGGAATTTTAGGGTTAGAATTTATTGAAGGAAGAAAAAAAAAAGAATTTTGAAATTATTTAAAATTCTCAATAGACTTACTGTATTTACTCGATTAATTACCCTGGGTAATTAATTTCAGCTTTGAACTTGACGCCCGGTGCTCCCGGGTCGAAGCTAATTTTAAAAACCCTAATTTTAATTACTAATAGCATTCTCATCAATAAAATTTTGATGGATCATGATCAAGCATTACTTTTAGCAATTTGTATATCAGCACCTTTATATTTGGCTATTTTAACTAAATTTATTTATGATTATAGTAGGTTTATTTATTATCTTTTATATTATCATAAAACATGGGGACCACGGAGCGATGGTTCGCCACCAAGGGCGGTATTCTAAAAACTGGGTTATTTTTGATAGTGGGCCACACAGTCATCTCAATGCCATTTTCTTCCGTAGGACACAAAATATTTGCTAGAAACAGTATTAGAGAAGGTGGTAATTTAAGTTTGACACAGATTATCCCAACAACGTTTAACCTATTATTTAGTTTAAAAATACCCACGCCCGTTAAACCTAGATTCAGCTGGAATTCGCAATTTCAATTTAAAAATACACAGACTGCAAGTTAAAAGAAACGCGCAATTCTACGCAATCCGCAATTTTATTCCAGCCCTGGTTCCGAAATTTTTGCTCGACATTGCTCCTCTGAAAATACCTCACAGTTCCAATACTCCCATGGCTCTCGGACAAAACTTCAGTGGGCATCTTTAAGTAACGTATATCGGAGGATTATGGGACATTTGGAGAGATTAAGAGGGACATCGGAGGATTTGAAGGACATCGGACTGATAATCCACTGACGCATTGTCCGAACACGTCTCCCATACTCTTAAAATATAAAATTTTAAAATTTAAATTTTTAAATTCCACAGAATACAAAAAAGTAGGAGTCGATGTACAATTACAAAAGGACCGCATTCTCATTTTAATAGTCTTCACCTCCAGTTTAATTCCCTGCCCTGTTCAGATAGCTATATATCAAGCTAGTTTGTATATCAACACCAATATGGAAAACACCTTAACTGCAGTGATATTTAATATTCTCTATAATCTTGGTTATACTTTAATTCAATTTATTGAAGAAATTTGTTTACTTTTTGCCTCGAAGGAATTTAGAAAATTGGTATTGAAACAATTTTTTAAAAATAATAATCAAACAAGTGTGGTTAAAACTATTATTGTTAAACCTTATGAACAGCAAGATGCTAAATTGAATAATAAAAATAAGAATGGGAATCTTGTAGCAGTTAATTAGGAAGGAAGGAAATTTGTTGGAAGAATTTTATTTTTATTTTATTTAAAGCCGACAAGGTTCCCTAAAATTCCGACAGATTTTCTGGCAATTCCTGACAGTTTTTTATCGGGAATCCTTATTCCCGAAATTGGGAATTCTTATGACGGCTAAACCTGTGGATTTGGGGACCTAATTAATAGTGGGTGAACGAGCTTGTGAAATCTATTCTCTACCTGTTTAACTTAAGATAGGCCGGACGAGGAGTGAAGGCCATTTTCCCCCTATTTAACCCTTACCTACAACCTACCTTTACCTCGCGTTTTCCTCCGACTTCTCGTTTTTGTTTTCCCATTAATGAGGGCATCAACCTCAATTCAAATCTCGATAGCTTCCTATTCTAGACCTTATTGTATAGACTAAAGAAACGTGATTTTGGTAGACCAACTATCGAGATTTGATTTTATTTTTGTTTTTTTTAAATTATGAATGGAAGCATAAATTTTATTTGTTGTTCTATATTTGGTTAATTTATTATTAGCTCTTTGACTAAATAAAAAGGAAGAAAATAAGGATATAATTTATAAAATTATTTATTTACTGAAATAAAAAAAAATTTTTTTTTAAATAGCTAGAAATTTTGTTAGTAATTTGCTTAAAAATATACAAATAATATAAAGAAAAATAATTTTTTAGAAAAAATTCATAGCTTAATAATATCCCCATATTCTTCATATTCATCTTCCCTTGGATCATATTTTAATTTTGCAACAAAACTTGAAACACCGGAACAAAATGAACGGTTATTGGATGGTTCAATAATATTGTTGTTAATAGATAAAGGGTTTTCTATGTTTTGTCTGAATCCTAAATATTAAAAAAATTTTATTTAAAGGACCGGCGTTAAATAAAAATATGTTTCTAAAGAGTTGCGCGCCTAAAGACCCCACGCCGAAATGACCCCAACTATTCAGAAATGTTTAGTAAAAAACAGAACATTAAGCGAACATTCATAATTTTAAAAACATCAGAATTTTAGGCAAACAAAATTCAGAAAATCTAAATAAACAGTTCTGGAATAATCAGAATTCTAAATGAACATTTCTGAAATAATCAGAATATTTACTAAACATTTCCGGAAAACCAGAAGTTTTGATAAACATTTACGGAAAAATCAGAAGTTTTACTAAACATTTCAGAATTTTGGATAAACATCAATAACCAGAATTTTAAACAAACATTTCTGAAATAATCAGAATATTTACTAAACATTTTCGTAAAATCAGAAGTTTTACTAAACATTTCAGAATTTCGGATAAACATCAAAAATCAGAATTTTAAACAAACGTTTCTGAAATTTTACTCTTACCTGCTATTTTCATCCCTCTTTGATTTGTTTCAACAATTAATCCTCCTTTTAATCTCCTATTATTTTTACTGATACTAATATTATTTCTATTCTCATTTTTATTAAATTTTTTCATTTTAAGATCATTTTTCGCTTGTTGTGAAATAAAGCACCATTCACAATTTTGAATTTTCTGAATTTTTATTGTTGAGTTTTCATTGTTTGTCAATGATAAAAAATATTTATATAATTTTGACATCCATGTTGTTACGACGTAAAAGAGAGGAAGAAAGAAGAAAATTGCAAAAAGAAGGCTAAAAATAAATTTTTTTTAGTTTAATTTTAAAATAAATTCGAGAAAACCTTAATGAACTGCAAACAACAAGGAAAATACCGACCTTAAAAAATTAAATTAATTTTATTAAAGGTCTGACATATCAGAAATTTAAATCAAAGATATCAGAAGTCTAAACAAACATATCAGAAGTCTAAATAAACATTCAGAATTTTAAACATTCAATATGTTAAAAACATCAGAATTTTAAATAAACATCAGAACTTTAAAAATCAGAATTTTAAACAAACATATCAGAAATTCAAACAAAGATATCAGAATTTTAAACAAACGTAATGAATTTTAAACATTCGAAATTTTAAAAAATCAGAATTTAAAATAAACATCAGAATTTTGAACAAACATATCAGAATTTCAAACAAAATCAGAATTTTTAAATCAGAATTCTAAACGAACATTCAGAATTATAAAAAACAGAATTTGAAATAAACAAATCAGAATTTTAAACGAACATTCAGAATTTAACCAAAAATCAGAATTTCAAACAAACAACGACAAACAATTCTGATGTAAACCCCAATTAAAATTTTCTACTTGAAAAAACGCATGTGTCTCAGCAAAAAGCATCACAGCCCCAGCAAGAATACTCGAGACTGTTGACATTAAAATAGGCCTAATTGCTCCACGAATTGCCATTTGTAAAGAATGCATTGGACAAACTTTGAATATTTTTAAATTAAAAAAATTTCAATTTAAACACCTTTAGACGGCATTGTAGCTCCAAAATGGAGGGTATAATCAAATGAGAGGCCAACAACGACAACGAGAATAACTGCTTCTAAAACACCAATCTCCCAACCTTTAAACATTAATTTAAAAATTAATTTTTAAATTAATTTTTGGAAATCAGACCCAGCAAAAGTAACATTCCAAGAGTGCAACATACAATGCTAACGATTGTTAGAGTTGCATAAATTGAGTTTAGACTTAAAGGAAAAAATTAAAAAAAAATTTTTAGGCCATTTTTAGAGAGATTTGAATTGGATAGATAGTCAATTAAATAAGACTTTAATAGATCTTAAAATTTGGAGAGAAAGAAAATTTTTCTGGAGATTGCCAGAAGACGGGATCTCCTTCAAGACCCATAGGCTACCAAGGCCAAAATTTTTTTTAAATATCTCGAATCTCGCTCAATCATCAAGTCCTATTTCTATCAAAACTCTACCGTAGCTACAATCAATTAGGCAATAAGACTAATAAATTTCAAAATTTGGAGAAAGGAAAAATTTTTTTGGAGATAGCCAGAAGACGAGATCTCGTTCAAGAACCCGTAGGCTAACAAGGCCAAAATTTTTCTAAATATCTCGAATCACGCTCAATCCTCAAGTCCCACCTTGATAGATATTAAAATTTGGAGGGGAAAAAATTTTCTGGGGATTTCTATCAAAACTCTACCGTAACATAACAGCAGAAAATAGGAGCACAACAAGTAAAGAAACAATAAAGGATTGTTTACAGTCTTCAATTATTGAACGTTGTAAATCAAACCATTGGGAAATAACTTAGAAAATTCAAAAAATTTTTAGAAATTTTTTTAACGTTAAAATACCTCCCCACTCAGTTGTATACCATCCCCTCAATAAATCTTCGTCTCCATTAATTATAGGTTTTATTGTTTGGTCTATTAATTCAAAGGAAGCGGATAAATTTGCAAAACGATGAGAATAAATTAATTTGGTAGGTAATAATGCCTAGAATTAAATTTTAAAAGCAGTTAAAAACAGAGAGGGAGACACGGGTGAGGACTGGCACATTAAGCCATTTCAACTCAAATCTAAAATTGACATGTAATCCCTGTAAGGTGTCAATTCTCGTTCCCTATCCAAAAACAAGAGGATATTAATATGTAGAGTAGAATCTCAACATCACTTGCGTCCAGCCATGCTATCGGAAGCATGGCTGGATACAAGTAAAAAAAAATTTCCAGCAGCCGCAATTTTAGCTTTGAAATCCGCAGCCGGAATCCGCAAGTCGAAAAAAACACTCAATTTTACCAATCCGTCGTCCGCAATTGCGTCCAGCCCTGATCTGAAGTCCCTATCGGGAAACAGACGTAATAAGGGAGAGATAGAAAGGTGCTATCGGGTAGATGTGTTATCGAGATTTGACTTTGACTCTCTAAAAAAACAGATTTTCTCACAGTATATCCAACAAGTTTGTGTGTTTGTCTATCCCAAATTAAGGTGTCATTATAGCCTGTTGGAAGTATTGTTGTTGAAAGACGGATACAATGATCAAAAATAGATGGAGAGACTGGGGCAATTCGATTCCCGAATAATTTACAGCAATGAGAGGAGGTAGAAATTGAGGTTAAATTACAAGCTGTTGAAGATGTCCATTCAATAAATCTAACAGGAAAAATGAGAAAAAAAATATTTTTTTAATTTTTTGAGATTAAAAATAGAAACAAGATTCAACATTAAGTTTTCACCTTTCCGGCCAAAATTTGTCACCAACTGGAAGATTTGAAAAATTCAACTTTTGAAGGCGTGAAATCTGACGTGCCAAAACTTGCAGCTAAAAGCCATTACCGTATTTACTCGATTAATTCCCCCGAGGAATTATTTTTTCAACCCATCCGTGGCATGGGGAATTAATAGAGGGTGGGGAATTATTCGAGTTTTGAAATTTGAACGTGTAGTAGGGTATTTGGGGGAGGGGAATTATTTTTTCAACTCATCCCGGGCATGGGGAATTAATAGAGGGTGAGGAATTATTCGATGGAGGGGAATTAATCGAGAAAATACGGTATTTTAAATGATAAAAAAATTTTTAAAATTAAATTAGAGCCAGGCTAGAGGGCCAGTCGTTGCTTTTCCGATTAACCCTAATCAAGCGGCGCTAAATTTCAATCAAAAAATTTTTTTACTTGAGCAGGCGTGTCCATCTTAAAATTTTTTAAATCAGTTTTCAGCAATTCTTTTTGTTGATTCTCAGAATTTGGATCAAAATAATTAGACAAAGATGAATCATTGTTATTAATTAATTGAATGCCCCATACTAGGCGAATTGAGAAGGGTAATTCGCCTATTTTATCGGCAATAAAAGGGTAGAGTTGTTCGGCATTCTGTCGAATAAAATGAAATTTTAATGAGATTTAATTTGATTGGACACCACCTCCCCCTTAAACGATAACCTCGAATAACATATAGACTACCAATTTAAGATAGGTGCCTTACGTTACAAGATAACCCTGACCCATCCAAAATCACCTTCTTTCTATGCTAGCCCAATTCGGCCCCGAAGGGCTTGAGTTCTATCTTTACTGTCTCGGATGTATTTGGGCACAGACTAGAGACCGGACCGAGACAATATCTCGACCAAAAATCTAGGTTATCGAGATCGAGAATTTTTAGATATCTCGGTTCTCGTACGTCACTCCCAGTCCTGTCTCTAGCACAGAATTAATTTCTTGGTTTTCTGGATAGCCTGATTTAAACCCCTCCAACAACTCTTCTAATTTTACTTTTAGAAAATTCTAAAGACCACAAACCTGATCATAAAATTCATGTGTATTAGATGCTCTAAATAATTGTAGTGGATTATAACGAGGTAAAGACAATTGAGTGCAAATTAAATAAATATTGACTTAAATTAAATTTTAATTTAATTTTAAAAAATCTCCTTTACTTCCAAAAAATATAAACAAAGATCCGAGCCACACAAATCTTCCTTGAATTAATACTGAAGGCAATATATCGTCCAAAACGAGACGATTAAAATGTCTATAACGTTCTAGCCAATTTGTTGGGAATTTAAATAAAAGAGGAGAACAACGAGTATTTTGGTGCTGTTGGCTTTAAATTTAGGAGAAATTTAAAAATAAAGTTAGAGGAAGGAAACTTTTGTTTAACCCCTCCAAGAGGAGGAGAATTGCCAGAATATCCTCCGCCTATACCCGAAAAGCAATACCAACAACGACTAGGCCACCAACGGACAAACCTAATTGAAACAATATTTTTAAATTAGAAACTCGGAGGGATTAGGACATTTTAGGTTGATAGGCCGGGTTGTTGCCGGGTCGAGAGGTTAAGGTGAGGTATCTTTGAGGCCAGGTTGAGGATAGGGTTGAGGAGGGGTTGAGGAGAGGGGTTGAGGAGGGGTTGAGGAGAGGGTTGAGAGGAAGAGTTGAAGGTTTCCTCAACTACAAGGCCGGGTTGAGGAAGAAGTCTCGAAACTTAGAAAATTTCTTTGGCTCGGGTTTCGTATAGAAGAATGTCCGAGAATTTAACGTATCGAGCTTATTTGTTAGGGTAACTCTCGCCCATTCTTGATCAAGCTATCAAAAATTTTATTTTGATGGGATATTTATTTATTTTTGTATTTTAACCTATCGTTAAATTAAATTTAAAAAGGAAAAAATTCTCAAAATTAAAATAATTTTTTAAATAATTTTTAAATATAAGTTCACCAAGGATTAAGCCAACGACTTTGCAAAACTAAAAATGCTGGAAGGAAGGTCACAAGCAAAAAATAATTGAAAATTAACGTTAATCCAGCAAATAACCCAAAACTACTAAAAATTAAACAGAAAAATTTAATTTAATTTTTAAATTTTTAATTAAAATACACACCGAAAGGCAAAAACACTCGATAATAAATTTAACATGAAAGGAATAACTGTTGAGAATTGTGTTAAAAACATTGTTTTTGCTATATGTTTTAATGCTTTATTTAATGTTGTTGGTGTAAGCCTTTCTGGGGCAGGAAAAACATCCAATAAAAGAAACGCCCCATCAGAACCAACAGAAATTAACAGAACAAAAGAAATTAAATTTAATTCTGGTATTTCTGACTAAAAAATAAAAAAAAGTTCTGAAAAAAGTTTATTTTTAATTCTGAAAAGTTTATTTATTTAAAAATTCTGAAAAAAGTTTAATTTTCGAAATTCTGAAAAAGTTTATTTTTTTAAAAAATTCTGAAAAAGTTTTTTTAGAAATTCTGAAAAAAGTTTAATTTTCAAAATTCTGAAAAAGTTTATTTTTAAAAATTCTGAAAAAGTTTATTTTTAAAAATTCTGAAAAAGTTTATTTTTAAAAATTCTGAAAAAGTTTATTTTCTGAAAAAGTCTATTTTTCGAACTTCTGAAAAAGTTTATTTTTTAAAAAGATTCTGAAAAGGTTTAGTTTTTTTTTAATTTTGAAAAGTTTATTTTCCGTAAAATTCTGAAAAGAAATTCTGAAAAAAGTTTATTTTTTAGAAATTCTGAAAAAGTTTATTTATTTTTATTTCTGAAAAGGTTTATTTTTAAAAATTCTGAAAAAAGTTTATTTTTAAAAATTCTGAAAAAGTTTATTTTTAAAAATTCTGAAAAAGTTTATTTTCTGAAAAAGTCTATTTTTCGAACTTCTGAAAAAGTTTATTTTTTAAAAAGATTCTGAAAAGGTTTAGTTTTTTTTTAATTTTGAAAAGTTTATTTTCCGTAAAATTCTGAAAAGAAATTCTGAAAAAAGTTTATTTTTTAGAAATTCTGAAAAAGTTTATTTATTTTTATTTCTGAAAAGGTTTATTTTTAAAAATTCTGAAAAAAGTTTATTTTTCAGAAACTGCTTTAAATGAAACAATTAAAGCAAATTCTGAAAAAAAGTTTATTTTATAAAAATTCTGAAAAAGTTTAATTTTCGAAATTCTGAAAAAGTTTATTTTTTTAAAAAATTCTGAAAAAGTTTTTTTAGAAATTCTGAAAAAAGTTTAATTTTCAAAATTCTGAAAAAGTTTATTTTTAAAAATTCTGAAAAAGTTTATTTTTAAAAATTCTGAAAAAGTTTATTTTTAAAAATTCTGAAAAAGTTTATTTTCTGAAAAAGTCTATTTTTCGAACTTCTGAAAAAGTTTATTTTTTAAAAAGATTCTGAAAAGGTTTAGTTT